AACCCTCCTAGGACTAGTGAGTTCAGTAAGGTCACAGGATATAAGGTAAACATATGAAATTCAATACTCCAACAATGAACACATGGCCACCAAAATTTAAAATACAATACCATTTTAAATTGCTCCCCCCAAAAATATATGGTTAGGTGTAAATCTAACAGAACGTGTGGAACTTGCATGCTGAAAAGTACAAACGGCTAATCCAAGATGATCTAAATAAAAAAATGGATAAACATACCTTGTTCATGGATTGGAAAACTCAACCACAGTAAAGATGTCAATTCTCCCCATACTGATACATATGTTTAATGCCGTTGCTATTAAAATCCTAACAGGAGGGGTGCCTGGGTGGCCCAGTCAGTTAAGCGACCACCTCCAGCTCAGGTCATAATCTCTCAGTTCATGAGTTCAAGCCCCTGTGTCAGGTTCTGGGCTGACAGCTCAGAGCCTGGAGCGGATTCTGTGTCTCCCTGTCTCTCTGTCTCTCCCCTGCTTTTGCTTGGTGTGTGTGTCTCTCTCTCAAAAATAAATAAACATTTTTTTAATTAAAAAAAATCCTAATAGTTTTTTTGTAGATATGGGCAAGATTATTCTAAAGTTTATATGGAAAGAGAAAGGAATGAGAAGAGCTAAAACAATTTTGAAAAAGAATAATAAAATGGAAGGCTGCCTACTGACAATTTATGATAAAGCTAGGATAATCAAGACTGTGTGATATCAGTGAACAGATAGATGCGTAGATCAATGGAACAAAATGGAGAACCCAGAAACAGACCCATACAAATATCCCCAATTGATTTTTTATAAACGTGCAAAAGCAATGAAGGAAGAGACTTTTGACCAATTAGACATCTATAGATGAAGAAATGAACCTCGACTTCCAAAGGAGGAGAGTATGGGCTTTAGATTCAGGCAAACCTGACTTTTAATTCTAGTTTTGCTCCTTACCACTGAGTGATTATGACTCATTAAACCTCACTAAACCTCGAACCCAAGCCTGGAGCTCATCAACGACATCTTACGGATACTGAAAAAATAGCAGGTGAATGAATGGGCTCCATTTAATTTACTGGGAGGATGTTCCCGGAATGGCCAGCAGAGGGCTCTAATCGCACACGAAAGACCATAACTTCCTCAAAGCTTGTCTGCCTTGCAAATCCCACCTTGGCATTTCAGGCACCCATTTTCATAAACCCACATTAATGCACAGTGCTGGGGAGACATTTTTCACAGCTATGTGTGTCACTATGTTTCTTTCAAAGAATCAAATCGATAATTGTAATTATACCTCCTTTTCCTTGCTTACTTTAATTATTTTCATACAGGAATAGGCATGCATACTCCACGGGAACAGTATTGCCCCCAAGGGGGTGAAAATTGGTTCTTGGGTCCAACCCAAAATCTCAGATATTGTAATGGCTTGTGGCCTTCAAAGGACCATAGTACATAAACAGATCTACAGTATATCTATGGTATTAAAATTTCATGGGGAAGGGGACAATTAGGGGAAAAAATATCTAAAAGGGCTTTTCGGGGCGGAGGGGAGCTGTAACTTAAAAAATAAAGGTTGAGAAACATTGCAATAAGGAAAGATGACTCAAGAGAACGCCCCATCATTGGCCCACATCTGAAGGTAGGACAATCCAGGGGCGCCTGGGTGGCTGTTGGTTGAGCATACGACTCTTGATTTCAGCTCAGGTCATGATCTCATGGTTCATGGGTTCAAGCCCTATGTCTGGCTCAGCACTGGCAGCCCAAAACCTGCTTGGAATTCTCCCTCTCTCCCTTTCTCTCTCCCTCTCCCTCTCTCTCTCTCTCTCCCTCTGCCCCTCCCTGCTTGCTCGCTCTCTCTCTGTCTCTGATTACACTTTTTTAAAAAATTGAAGTTAGGGCCTACTTGGGGTAGGCCACAATCCTGTCCAACATCAAGAGCTCCTAACTAAAGATCTTGTTATTGTTCAGAAGGCACTCCTCCAGGGAAAATTTAAATTCCATTATAATCCATTATAATCATTCCCGAAAGTTTCTCCTGTACCACCCTACTCCCCCCCTTCAGGTCCAGTCCATCCCGAAACAACCATCGATCTGCTTTGTGTTGCACACTCTTTTTTTGCTTCTTTCACTCAGCGTAATTATTTTGACATTCCTCCGTGTTGTTGGGCATATATTTTTTAATTTTTTTAATGTTTTCTTTACTTTTGAGGGAGAGAGAGAGAGAGAGACAGACAGACAGAGTGTGAGTGGGGAGGGGGCAGAGAGAGGGGGGGAGACACAGAATCCGAAACAGGCTCTGCATGGTCAGCACAGAGCCCAACGCCGGTTCAGACTCATGAACCATGAGATCATGACCTGAGCCGAAGTCGGACATTTAACTGCCTGAGCCACCCAGGCGCCCCGAGTATATTCATAGTCCATTTCTTTTTACTGCTGAGTACTGTTCCATTGCGATGCTGTATCACAATTTGTTCATTCGCTCACTTGTTCGTGGATGTTTGGTTTGTGTCCAGTTCAAGGCTGTCGTGAATAAAGGTGTGCGTATTCACGTCCAAGTCTTTGTGTAGGTCATGGGTTTTCGTGGCTCTTGAGTAAATACCTAGGAGAGTGCTACTGGCCTGTATGACAGGTGTGCCTTTAACTTGGCAACAAAGGGACTGATTAAAGTCTCTCTGCCCAGGCTATGGGACCCCCTTGCCACTCCTCTGGGAGAAGCCACCTTGTCTAATTCAAAAGGAGTCTTTCCTGGGAAGCCTCACGTGATCCCTGAGAGCCACACCCTCAGAGAGCAGCCAGTTGACTACTGCTCTCACTACAAGGAGGTGATTTTCTGGAACCTCCCTCCAGAGGAGAGAAAACTCACCTACACCCGTATCATCACTGGTGTGGCAAAGTACATCTGCTACAGCACAAAAATGTGGGGCGCCCGGGTGGCTCAGTCGGGTAGGCGGCCAGTTCTTGGTTTCCGCTCAGGTCAGGATCTCACGGTTTGTGGGTTCAAGCCCCGCGTTGGGCTCCGTGCTGACAGCACAGAACCAGCTTGGGATTCTCTCTCTCTCTCTCTCTCTCTCTCTGCCCCTCCCCTGCCTCAAAACAAGTAAAACTAAACTTGGAAAATTGGTGGAAAACATAGAAAAATGCAAAGATTAAAAGGCTTGCAATACCACCAGTGAGAGGTAAGAATGGCCCACAGTCCACTAAACGTGGACTGTTCTAGTCTTTTCCTAAACATAGTGTACATAGAAATGTATCACCCTGTGTCTCTTCTCCACTGAGATACATCTTTCACAACTTAACTCTCCTGACCAGGTAGTTAATCACCCCTTTAAAAAGCCACCGTCCCTCACTCAGTCTCCAGACCTGAGCCAGTGTTGGGATCCCAAACACATGGACTGAAGCAAAGACTGGATCCTCAGAAGGACCCTGTAAAACCATGACAGATAACAACATGCCACGGAAAGGGGGAATATGCAAGCATTTTAAAAAACCCATCACACAGGGTCTGCACTGGCATTTATGCCCAGGAACCCAGGTGAGATTAGTGTAGAAATGAATATACTTTATTCCTGCTGTTTTAATTCAGCCTTACTATTTATTTTTCTATGTTATTTCTCTCCTTTTTCATGTGTTTGCTGGCTTGGTAACATGGCCATTGGTTATCTTTTTTTCTCTTAGATTTTAGTGTTCGATACTTTTCCATTCCAACAGCAGCTACCTTCCCCTTTTCACATTTAGAGTAAAATACATAATCACAATTATATAATCTTCCATTATATGAAAAAATACCATCTATTTCCCACTTATAGTACTTTTAAGATGACCCACTTATAACACTTTTAAATCCCCATGCTCCCAACCCCTGTAGAGATTTAAATGCTTTTATTCTATAACATTGCAACTCAGGCAACAACGGATGTTGGTGAGGATTTCGAGAAAGAGGACCCGATTGGCACCGCTGGTGGGAAGGCAGGGTGGTGCAGCCACTCTGGAAAGCAGTATGGAGGTTCCTCAAAAAACTAAAAATAGAACTACCCTACGACCCAGCAATTGCACGACTAGGCATTTATCCACGGGATACAGGTGTGCTGTTTTGAAGGGACACATGCACCCCCATGTTTATAGCAGCACTATCGACAATAGCCAAAGTATGGAAAGAGCCCAAATGTCCATCGATGGATGAATCGATAAAGAGGATGTGGTGCATATATACAATGGAGTATTACTCGGCAATCAAAAAGAATGAAATCTTGCCATTTGCAGCTACGTGGATGGAACTGGAGGGTATTAGGCTAAGTGAAATTAGTCAGAGAAAGACAAAAATCATATGACTTCACTCATATGAGGACTTTAAGAGACAAACCAGATGAACATAAGGGAAGGGAAACAAAAATAATATAAAAACAGGGAGGGGGACAAAACAGAAGAGACTCTTAAATATGGAGAACAAACTGAGGGTTACTGGAGGGGTTGTGGGAGGGGGGATGGGCCAAATGGGTCAGGGGCACTAAGGAATCTACTCCTGAAATCATTGTTACACTATATGCTACCTAATTTGGATGTAAATTTTAAAAAAGAAAATTAAAGAAAATAAAAGCAAAAAGATATTATGAAATAATAAATACATTAAAAATTTCCAAAAAAATGCTTTTATTCTCCATCTGCCCCTCCCCCAAACATGGGGGGTGGTTTACAGAGGGGGGGGGAGGTCCTCCAGGTACTATTATTAATCTTTCATTTTCTCTCAAAACCCTGCAGATTATCGTTTGCTTTCAGTGTGGCAGGAAAGAAGTCCAATGCCTGCCTCATTGGTTTTCTTTGTAAGCTGCTTATTTTCTCTTTCTGGAAGCTGGGAGGCTTTTTTTTTTTTTAATTTTTAATGTTTATTTACTTTTTTAGAGAGAGAGAGACAGACAGTGCGTGAGCAGGGGAGGGGCAGAGAGAGAGGAAGACACAGAATCCAAAGCAGGCTCCAAGCTGTCAGTACAGAGCCAGACGCGAGGCTCGAACCTGAGGTGAAGTCAGACGCTTCACCGACTGAGCCACCCAGGCGCCCCTGGAAGCTGGGAAGTTTTGTATTTATGTTTGGCCTTCAGTCGGCTTTTCGGGACATGCCTCAAGGTGAGCTTTATTTTTTTTTCTAAGTTCTGTTTGGAATTCAAATCTTCAGATCAAGTATCTATTGGAAAACTTTCAAGGCAAATTCCCTCCTTTGCGCTCTTTAATTATTGCTCGTTAATTATTTTCCATTTCCTCCATCTTATGAATTTCATTATACCGATAATAATGATTCCAGTATCTGAGTATTTGGTTGCCTGCGTTGTCCCCTCAACCCTCTTCCGTTTCACCTTATGATTGCCATCTCTTTGACTCTTCGATTTGCGTGCTGTCTTATTTCTCCATTGATACTTATCCCATGTCAGGCTCCAACAGTGACCATCCCTCCTCAGACTCCTCTCCCGAGGTGTTTAGTCTGGACGTGAGAGTGTCCTTCCGCCCAGAAGGCGCGTTATGTCAGTGAGCGTACTGCCCTGTATTTGTACCTCTTTGGGTGTTGCTTTCCTCGTTGATTTCTGTTCAGGGGGCTTTCTCTCTCCTCCAGGAGGTCTGTGCCTGCTGTTCTGTGTGATGTTCTAGTTCTTTCTCTTGCTCACTTCTAGGTCCCCATCTGGTATGTTGGTATTGTCCTTTGCTGGCTCATCAGGGCACATGGCCAGCTGCTGGGGATCTTCGGCAGGATCAGTCCCTCGAGTTGTGGATGGCCCAGTGGTTTTGGCCCTTCTGTCACTGGCCCTCCAGCTGGCAAGCCATGGTTCCCAGAAGGACGTCCCCTGCTCTCCAGTCTCCTCATTCTCCTGGGGAAGAGGGAACTCAGCACATTGTTTACACCCTCGCAGCTTTGTTTGTTTGTTTGTTTGTTTGTTTGTTTGTTTTTTAAGTAGGCTCCATGCCCAACATGGGGCTTGAACTCACAACCCTGAGATCAAGAGACTGGGCCAGCCAGTCACCCCTCCCCCACGGCCTCTTAAGTGCCCCAGAGCAGTGATCCCAAAGCACCCTTGTGTGGGCCGGTGCAGCCTCTCCCTCAGGATACACTTGGACTTCTATAGATCAAATGTTCCCAGATTTCACCAGTTTCCTTCTGACCGTGACTCCTGGGCTCCGTGCTTCTGGTCCCCAGGCCCTCACTGGACCCGGAAGCGGAAAGTTTCTCTGCCAGCTCCCTTCCTCTGGACTGGAGAGAAAAGCAAGGTCTTGTGTCCACCCTAAACCTCACAGGCTCTTGCCTCAAAGAATGTTCTGTAGCTAGCTTTAAGCTGAAGGATGATGGCAGCAAGGATGTATTCAAGAACCATCTCCCTGGAATGCCTAGAGGAAAATTCACTACATTCCAAAATACTACAGGCCATTTCACAGACCACAGTGCAATAAAACCAGAAATCATTAACCAAAAAAACCCAAAAAACTTCACCAACAAAACCCTAATAGACTCAAATATCAAACTTCACTCTTTTCAACTGTCTACTGGGTTAAAGAGAAAATCAAGACAGAAATTATAAATCACTTCTTTTTTTTTTTTTAATTTTTTTTTCAACGTTTATTTATTTTGGGGACAGAGAGAGACAGAGCATGAACGGGGGAGGGGCAGAGAGAGAGGGAGACACAGAATCGGAAACAGGCTCCAGGCTCTGAGCCATCAGCCCAGAGCCCGACGCGGGGCTCGAACTCCCGGACCGCGAGATCGTGACCTGGCTGAAGTCGGACGCTTAACCGACTGCGCCACCCAGGCGCCCCAGAAATTATAAATCACTTCTAATGAACGACAATGAGAGCGGAAAATATAAACCTCCGTGAGATGTGACCAAAGGAGAATTCGAAGGAAGACATACAGATTCATAGAACGGTATTAGAAAAACAAACAGAAGATTAAAAATAATGCAGAGCCCCCAGGGGTAGTCCGTGCACTGCGTATGCCAGCCTAATTTTGCTTCCACCGAGATGCCTATTAAAAATAGAGTCGAGAGATTTTATTTCCACCTTTATATTTTGTAGAATTTCAAATCCCCCAGAAGAGCAGAAGAACACTACAACGAACATCTCTGGATGCACCCCTGGTGACGATTTTGCCTCTGTCTCTCTTGTTATACGTGGATGCACATTTTTTTTTTCTGATTCATCGGCAATAGTTACCAAGATTATGACCCCTCCCTCTTCCGCACGCATCCCAGGAGAAGAGAGAAAATGTCCTCTTGTCATCGCTGGCCTTCTTGGGAGAAGGACTCGGGGGCAGGGATTCGCCTGCGGAGCGCTCTGGGGCTGGACGTCCGGGAGAGGGAAGGAAGGTCTGGGCAGAGTGAGGATGTGGGTTGTCACATAGATTCAATAAAAGCATGTGCAAGCTCCTCGAGGAGCTTCGAAGCTTCTTCAGAGTTAGTCCTGAGTTGCCGTGAGAGGAGCTGCCTGTCAACCAGTGATTGGACACGGGCTGCCCTGGGAAAGGGCATGACCTTGGATGAGGCAGTTCCCTTCAGCCCGGGGATCGCCCTGAAGAGTGCCAGCAACTGAAGACTGTGCTTCCAGCAGCTGTGGGAGTAAGTCCTTCCCTCCTGTGGCCAAGTGCCACTTCATTTCGGTTCCAGGAGCTCCTCCTCCAGGACGCCAAGGGGCGTCTTTCCTGGAGGACACTGACAAGGGGAAGGTTAAAGGGGCAAAGTACAACCCCGGCCAATGCGGCTGGGCTCAGGGCCGCACTGATGCTCTTGCTCTGTCCATGTGTTCGGGATCCAGAAGCTAGCTTTGATCTGCAAAGAAAAAAGGCCAGTGTAGCAACATTCATACCAGACAAGTTGAAGATTAAAATTCCCCGAGGCGCCTAGGGGTGCCTGGGTGGCTCAGTCGGTTAAGCGTCCGACTTTGGCTCGGGTCACGATCTCGCGGTCTGTGAGTTGGAGCCCCGCGTCGGGCTCTGTGCTGACAGCTCCGAGCCTGGAGCCTGCTTCCAGTTCTGTATCTCCCTCTCTGTCTCCTCCTCCTCTGCTCATGCTCTCTCTCTCTCCTTCAAAAATAAATAAAAACATTTTTAAAAATTAATTAAATAAATAAATTTAAATAAAATAAGTCAATAAATTTCCCAGGGCGCCTGGGTGACCCAGCCAGTGGAGCGTCCGAATTCAGGTCAGGTCATGATCTCGTGGTTCGTGGGTTCGAGCCCCGCGTCGGGCTAGAGGCTGACAGCTCGGAGCCTGGAGCCTGCTTCCGATTCTGTGTCTCCCTCTCTCTCTGCCCCTCCCCAGTTCATTCTCTCTGTCTCTCTCTCTCTCTCTCTCTCTCAAAAATAAATAAACGTTGAAAAACATCAAATTAAAAAATAAAATGCAGACTCTGATTCAGTAGTTCTGGGGCGGGGCCCGGGATTCTGCATTTCTAACAAGCTCCCAGGTGATGCCGAGGCTGCTAATCCCATCCGCCACACACATAATTTAAGTACACCCTCACCCAAAGCAATTAGCCTGGTAGAATGGTGGGGTGGCCTGTGCAAGGTCAGTTAAGGCATCAGCTCAGCTACCACACCCGTCGGGGGTGGGACGCTGTCCTCCGGAATATGGCGTAGGCACTGAGCCAATGGGCGTGGTGTCCCCAGGAACGAACGAGCAGGGAGGGAGGCTTCGCCTCCCACCACCTCCTGGCAATGTTGGCGTCTTCATGCAAAAAAACGGAGTAGGAAGCGAAGAATGAAATGAGTCTGCTGGCGGGGCTGGTCCACCTGCCGCACGGGGAACTAAACCAACTGCTACCCGGTGGGACTGAGCCTATGCCTGGCGCCCAGGGCATCACGGGGCATCTCTCGGGGCTTCCCGGACATTCCAGGTGATTGTAACAACCGCAGTTAGACAAAGGCAAGGCGAGGGAGGAAGGGCTGGGTCACCCCAGCAGGCCAGTAGCACCTGCCAGTTGAAGTGATGGCCACGGGGCAGGAAAATCTGGAATGGGTGGCAGAGAAGGAAGAGGACGACTATGGATTACCACCCTGGAATGAGCTACCACTGCAGACACGGGACGTTGGCTCGTGAACCCTCTTCCAGACTGTTTAGGAGCTGCCACAGGCTTCCCCCTTGAAGGACTGGCCGAAGGCATCTTATTCTTACATGTGCGACAGATGTTACAGGAGGGCGAAAGAGAATCTGACTGGTGCAAGGGCCGGAATGTGCCAGACTCGGTTTATGCACCACCATGGATCTCTGGCCTTCTCCCTGCAACCACCCTGCACACTCACCTCACCCCTCAGCCGCTCGCCTTGATTCCCAGCTGGAGGGGCTCTACGGGGAACGGGGGCGGGCGATTGCCTGGTCCTTAAGCCTGATGGCGGCCTCTGCCATTGATGACGCTACAGGTCAAGGAGCCCCACGGCAGTGCTGACCGAAAGGGAGAGACCGACCACGACATGAACTGTTTGGATTGGTCCCAGGGGCTCCCAGGGCGGGGATAGGAAGGAGCCGGTGGACAAACTCTGCTCACCTTCTCCTCCAGCGGGGTGTTCCAAGTCGGAGTAGTTCACGCAACTAGCTATGCTAGTTACAAAACTCTCAGCAATGCCCCGGCTCACCCTGGCTCGGCTCCTCCCTGACTCACTTTCTCCCTCAGCCTGGTTTCCTCCAGGAAGTGTTACCACGTAAACTTTTGCCGAGGGCTCTGCGTTCTGGGGAGCCCAGGCTGAGACAGTGTGGTCCTTGAGAAATAGACAAAGAACAAGAAAACAAACTGGAAAAAAAAAATTAAGAGGAGAGAATTCATGAAGACAGAAGATGCTATTTTAGGAATCGTGGAGGGGTGGGGGAATCAAAATGGCTTTCTTTGAGGAAAACAATCCCAGTATATCAGCAGTCAAGTTTCCGTGTTGTCAGGGATACAAGCCGATTCTGATGATTAAGCAGCAAGCAAGTTTGTTAAAGAGATAATGAGCAGCTCACGCTATTGTTATGAGGGCTGAAAAGCCAGACTCAAGGTCAAGTAATGCCCCCAACTGTTCTGTATGTTGATGAAAAACTGCCATTCTTGTCACCGCCCCTCCCCCATGCCAGGACCTTGACCTTGGAACCACGGAGGGCACTACCTCCTGCAAAGCCCATTGCCTATGCCACCTGGGCCTACGGAAAAGACAATTCCATGCAGAACTTGAACCCCCCGCCCCCTGCCCCCTGTAGCTAGCGCACTTAGTCATCCCACAAAGGCCCAGTGCCTACATCCTAACGATGAGAGAGGCTGGGAACTTGAGTTCCAATCCAAGCCTGGAGGGACAGGACTCCCGATTGTGAATCTCTCCAGATCTAAGACCGTTGTTCCAAAGATGGTGGGAAGACGGATGTCTACCAGAAGCAATAAAACGGATACACCCCTCATGAGGCAGATCAGAAATAAGTAAAACAGACAAAAACATGTTTAAGAAATAGTCCTGGAGGGGCCCCTGGCTGGCTCAGTGAGTAGAGCATCCCACTCAGGGTTGTGAGTTCAAGCCCCACATTGGGCATGGAGCCTACTTTTAAAAAAAGAGAAAGAGGGTTCTGGCAAACGGATTATGTGGAATAGTGCTGTCCGATAGAAATATAATAGAAGCTGTGTAGATAATTAATTTTTTTCTAGCAGCCACATGAAAAAGAGTTAAAAAAGAAATATGTGAAGTTAGGGGCGCCTGTGTGGCTCAGTTGGTTAAGCACCTATTCGCTTCGGCTCAGGTCACGATCTCAGGGTTCATGAGTTTGAGCCCCTCATCAGGCTCCCTGCTGAGAGTGCAGAGTCTGCTTGGGATTCTCTCTCTGCCTCTCTCTCTCTCTCTCTCTCTCTCTCTCTTTCTCAAAATAAACAAATACACTTTAAAGAAAAAAGCATATTTAACAAATATGTGAAATTAATTTTAATACTTAATCCAACATATAATCAATATAAAAGTTAGTAATGAGACATTTTATATTCTTCTTTTTTCACACTAAGACTTGGAAATTGGTGTATATTTTAAACTTACACTTCATTTCAGTTGGACTGGTCATATTTCAAGTGCCCAAAAGGTTCATGTGGCTCATGGCTATATTAGATAGCACAGAGATAGTAGAGATAAAATCAGAACTCTATTTCACACATCATTTAAAGAAAAGCAAATTCCAAGTGAACTCAAGATGTAAATCTAAAAAATAAAATGATTAAAATCTTAGAAGAAAACGTCCAACGCTATACCTAGCTAGCATTTGTGAGATCTTTCTAGCCATCTGCAATGCAGGTGGCAGATAAGGGGTTCCTGTCTATATCCACAAGGAGCTTTGGCAAATCAGTATCAGAATAAAAATGGTCAGAAGTTCTCACAGAACAAACCCAAATGGTGAATAAACCTAAGAAGATATTCAGCTTCCCTGGGAGTCAGGAAAATACACATTAAATAATGAGACATTGCTTTACTCACATCAGACTAGCAAATCGGGAGCATGGTAACACCTACTGGAGGCTGGGAAGGGACCCTCCTCACCACATCACAGTGGCTATGACCTTGTTGGAGAGCAGTCTGGCAACACCTATCAAAATAAAACAACTCCGCATATTCTTTGACCAGCAATCCCATGCCCGAGAATCCACGCCAGGGAAATAAAAGCACCAGAATATGTGGAGAGGACGGACGTTCCCATCCACAGTGACCATGAGTATAGGCAGAGGAATGGCTGAATAAAGTGTGATACATTTGTATCATGGCAGGTTATGCAACCACTAGAAAAGAATCTCTTGACTCAAGGGAATTACCATCTTCCACCTCTGCAAGATGCAGAGACATGCATGAACTGTGGTTCCGTTTCTGTAAGCGATCGGGAGAGAAATCTACACAGACATGTATATTCACATCTGATTTCACGAGCATGAAGAGAGGGTTAGAAGGATATAATCGCCCTGCTAGCAAGGTTACCTGGGAGGAGGAGGAGAAGCAGGTGGTACAGATAAAAACACGGGAAGGCAGGAAAGAAAAATATGAGAACAGAGAAAAGACACGGGGGGCGATGGGGCGGGGAGGTTAAAAGGAAAAAAACTATCATTTCAAGGAAGGACAATTTCTGTGAAGTTATCATGTGTGTTTGAAAAGGGCAAACATGTATCTCCACATAAATGTGTTCGATAAAGCTCGTGAACCATGGCATTCAAATCTTCCATGTGATTTACTTACTGTTTCGACTGCCTGTTCTGCTGATTTCTAACCGTTTCCCACCGAGCTGTGGATCGGTGGTTTCTCCTCGGGATTCTATCAGTGTTAGTATTTGACATTTCAATCCTATGTCACTAGACGCATACAAACACAAGGGCTAAACTTACTGGTAGATTGAATATTTATCAATATATATTTCGGTCTAGGGACGCCTGGGTGGCTCAGTCGGCTGGGCGACCGACTTCGGCTCAGGTCACGATCTCAACGGTTTGTGAGTTCGAGCCCCGCGTCGGGCTCTGTGCTGACAGCTCGGAGCCTGGAGCCTGCTTTGCATTCTGGGTCTCCCTCTCTCTGCCCCTAACCCACTCATGCTCTCTCTCTATCTCAGAAATAAATAAACATTTTTTTTAATTTAAATATATATATAGATAGGTCTTTTCAAATAACACTGATCGTTGTTGCGTGAAATCCATTTTGCCTAATGCTGTTGTTGTCCACTTGCTTTCCTCTCCCCGGCTTCCCTGGGACAACTTTTCCCGCTCAGTATTTCCAGTGTTTCTGTGCTACCCTGCTTTTGCTGTCTCTAATAAAACAGCATACGGTTTGACTTTTTTTTTTTTTTTATTCTAGAGTATCTGTCCTCTCACAGTGAGTTTCATATATTATTGATGGATTTGTATGTTTCTACCAATTTATTTACCTGGTGTTTTTTTTCTACTATATATGCTGTGTTCATGTTTCTTTTTCGTCTCTGCTT